CACTCATGCCTACCACAGGGGGAGTAAAAAACCAATTAGAGAAGAGAACACCGGAGGGGGCAGAGGGCAGAGGGAACTGAGAAGTAGGAATAGGGGAGAGGGAAGAAAAGGGAGGGGAGACAGGAAAAGGGAGGGGAGGGGGGAAAGAGAGAAGAGAGGAAGGTCCAGTTGCTCCAGGCTAAGGTGTCCCCTAAAGAAAAGATCCCAGAAGGCTCTGCGGCCATTCCCCTTGTGGGAGGGGGGATCCTCACCGCCGAGATCACTCTGTGTGATTCACCTTGTCCGTCTCCTCTCTCACTCCCCAGAGGCCCCTTTAGCCTACTGAATGTCTTTCTGGGAAATCTCATTTTGCACCCTGGCAGCATGCTCAATTCCTCCTGTCAGATGCTGGAGGCAGCCCTATAAATAAGGTGCGAATTCTTTATTGCCGGAGCCGGCAGAAGGCTTGCACGCAGGATGTCCTCACTCACGCTACAGTCGTATTTTCATAAAACCTGTGCAGGGAGCTTTGTGTGAAGAGAGATGGGTAGGGGTGAAAAACAAGGCTGTCTTTGCAGCCAGGGCCCCACTCCCTTTAGGAAGGGCTCAGGCTAGCAGAGAAGTCTGGCGATAAAAGGAATTGTCAGTGACCTCATCCAGTTTCAGACAGAAGGTACGATGGCTGATGATTCCCAGGGACTTCTCTGACATGTCTTGCCTTGTTTCTTGGTGAGCCAGTTCCTATAGAGGTGTTCTTGCTAAGCCGGGCTCGGTGGCTCAGCCTGTCATCCCAGCACTTTGGGAGGCAGAGGTGAGTAGATTGCGGGTTCGAGACCCACCCGGGCAACTTGGCGAGACCTCGTCTCTACAATAAATCAAAAATTAGACAGGTGTGGTAGTGCGTGCCTGTAGTTCCGGTCACTTGGAAGGCTGAGGTGGCCGGGATTGAGGCTGTGGTGGCCGGGAGCATGCCACTGCACTCCAGTCTGGGCGACAGAGTGTGACTCCAACTCAAAAAATAATAATAATAATAAGTGTTCTTGCTTAAGCAGGCCACTGAGGGATAGACCATGCAGCCAAACTTAGTCTCAACATGCATCTTCTCTGGCCCAGGGCCGCCTTCTCATATACTTCCTGAGAGGCAGGCAAGGTATCAGTGAATTCTTCATGGGTTCAAAGTCAAGGCTTGGAGAAAACAAGAGTCCCGTCCCCCAGACTCAGCTGTACTGCTGGAGGAAGAAGCGGGCTCCACAGAGCAGGAAGAGAAATGGGTGTGTGCAGGTGGCAGCAAGAGGCTGGGGGTGGGAGGGAGATATGAAGAGCTGGAGGCGAGATAGCCTCGAAATTAGAAGTTTGTGGAGACATCACTAATGTTCACCAATTCATTCAGTTCTCCTCTTCTCAGCTCCCTTGCAGTTGAGTGGGCCCATGTTCCAAGGTCTAGGTCTAACCAGAGTTTGGGAAGAAGTTATATGTATTGCTTTCAGGACAAAACATGACCCTCCAGCTACCTCCTGGCTCCCACCCTCATCACTGAACCACAGAGGAGACGTCATGTTGAGATGGAGCCACAAGACCAAAGGATTCTTGATCCTTGAATCACCTTGTGGAGGAGAGTTGAACTGCAAAGTTCACAAATCCTCAATAAACTTAGAATGAGCGAGAAATACATCTGTGATGTTACTAACCTAACCCGTGTCGACTGATATTGTCTTTCCAAGTGTGACCTAATCTCTTCTGTGAAATGGGTACCAGGAGTCAAGCCACCTACCTAAAGAAGAACTAAACCCAGGTCTGATTCAGAATTTTGGAATCAGAAACCAAGATGCTACATGAAGAAATGTCTTAAACAAAAACTATGCCAAGACTATGCTTTCTTGTGAATCTGAGAGTGTGCCTTAATTGACTCTCTCTCTGTGTGTTGGGTAGACGTGGTATGGTATCTGAGATTAGATTTTGGTTGTTCAGCAGGCGAACACAGCAGGGACAAGCCAAACTGTAGAATTTGGTTATCTCCCCTTCACTCCATTTCTGCTGAGTTGCACCTCTCTACTGCTTCCACTTAAGAAACGTTTTAAACTTCAAGCCTTGACCACTTTGTGGGTCAAAAATCAATTTAGTGGTCATACCCAGAATTTTTCTGAACAGAACAGAATGGATCAAACAGTGCTTCACGTGTAATAAATCTAAGTATGGGAATTTTTGTTTAGTTTAATATATGTGTATACACACATGTGAGCATATAAATGTAAGATGTATTTCTTACACTTCAGATCATGTTTGGATCAATGGCTCCAGGGGTTGGGCATGGTGGTTCATGCCTACAATCTCAGCACTTTGGGAGGCTGAGATGGGAGAATTACTTAAGTCCAGGAGTTCAAGACCAGCCTAGGTGACATAGCAAGACTTTGTTGTCTTCCCAAAAAAAAAAAAAAGGATTAGCCAGTCATAGTGGCATGCACCTCCAGTCCCAGCTACTTGAGAGGCTGAGGCAGATGGATCACCTGAGCCCAGGAAGTTGAGGCTGCAGCAAGCCATGATCGTACCACTGCACTCCAGCCTGGGTGACAGGGTGAGACTCTGGCTCAAAAATAAAGTAAAATGAAGAGCATTAAAACATGAATGAGTGAAGGTAAAAAAAAAAATTAATGGCTCCAGGAAACAATTCCCACATCCACTAACAGGTGAGTGGACAAACAGAATGTGGTGTATTCAGTCAAGGAAATGCTATCCAGCAACCAGAAGAATGATCTACTGATACACTTAACGATATAAAGGAATCTCAGAAATAGCACCCTGAGCAAAAGAAGCCAGACACCAAAGAGTGGATACTTCATGATCCCATTTGTATGAAACTCCAGAACAGGAAAACTCACCTAGGGTGGCAGAAAGCAAAACGGTCATCGCCTGGGGTGAAGGTGGGGCATTGACTACATGATGAATTGAACTGTGTCCCCCTCAAAATTTATGTTGAAATCCCGATGTCCAGTACCTTGGGACAAAACCCTGTGTGGAGGTAGAGTCTTTATAGGCGTTATCAGGTTAAAACAAGGTCATTAGGGTGGGCTCTGATTCAATATGACTGGGATGTCGTTATGAAAAAAAGTCTCACTCATCTCCAAGATGAAGAGCCTGAGGTTCAGAAAGGTCAATTACCCAAGATCACACCAGCTGTGAGGGGCAGAGCTGGCATTTGAACTGGGTCTGTCTGCCTCTCTGCTGGCCTCAGACCAACCTATAAGACTCAGATTTCTCGACACTCAGGCAATAGCAGTTTGCTGCAATTTTATTTCTTGTCCAAAATCATGGACGTTCTCGGGATCCTATAAATAAGAATAGCTCCTAGGCTTTCAGCTCTGCAGATAAGCAGACTTTTGATAGCCTCTCCTTCACCGTGGTAAAGAAGTTTATGGTAACTGAAAATAAAAGTCCTTGGAAGAAAGCCACCGCCAGCCTCCCAGTCGCAGCTGTGACTCAGAGAAAAATGTCTCCATCCTCTAGTGAGCTTCCCTTGTGCGTGAGAATAAGACGTGGCCCATCAGGGAAATAAACTGGAGAGGCTATGTGTGGAGCATAGAGAAATAACCAAAAGCAGGTAAGTGAGAAGGAAGAAGGAAATGAAAGATATTGCAAGTAGAGAGCCATAGTAGATTGGTCACTCTGTCAGCATCTTAAGTCAGGGTTACTGCTATGGTTTGAATGTTTGCCCCCTTCAAAAGGCACATTGAAATTTAGTTGCCATTGTAGCAGAGATAGAACCGTTAGGAGGTGTTTAGGTCATGACGGCTCCATCATGAACGGACCAATGCTGTTATTATGGGAATGGGTACATAATACAGGTGTGGGTGCATGACCATGAGAGCGGGTTTCCCTCTGTTGCTCACTCCCTCTGTCTTCTGCCCTTCTGCCATGTGATGCCTTCCACCATGTCATGATGCGGCACCTTGATCTTGGACTTACCAGCCTAGAACTGTGAGCCAATACATTTCTGTTCATTATAAATTACCCAGTCTGTGGCATTCTGTGATAGCAGCACAACACAGACTAGGATAATGATTATGTGGTATTTATTGGAGTTGAGGGATTTACCAAAAGTACACATTTCTGTGAGACTGACAGTTTCCCTCAGTTCTGATCAATATTGTCTCATTAGTTTTGGCTCCATCTGTCGTGTATGAGAGGAAATTTGCTTGCTCAAGGAGGGTTTGGATGCCTGGCCCATGGATGGGGTCCAGAAAGTCTGGACAGCCCAAGAGCTTGTGGAACTGCCGGCTCAGGGCCACACAGAGGAAGAAGACCAGGGCCTGAGTCCAGCTGGAAAGGATTTTTATCTAGGGTGTTTGGAATTGGAAAGAAACTATGAGCTATAGTTGCCTTCATTGGAATCTTCCAAAATCAGAGCTTGAGACAAAGACTAAAATGAAAGAAGCTTATTTGGGAGGTGATCTGCTACGGTCTGAATGTTGGTGTCCCCCAGAAATTCATATGTTGGAGTTCAATCCCCAATGTGATAGTATTAAGAGGTGATTAGGTCACGAGGGCTCCATCCCTGGGAGTGGGATTAGTGTCCTTATAAGAGAGGTTGAAAGGGGCTGCCTTGTCCCTTCTGCCATATGAGGATAGAGCAAGAAGGAGCCATCAATAAGGAAAGTCTCCTCACCAGACACCAAGTCTGCCAGCACCTTGATCTTGGACTTCCCAGTCTCTATAACAGTAAGAAGTAGCTATCTTTCGTTTGTTAATTACCCAGTGTAAGGTATTTTTGTTATAGCAGCAGGAACTCACTAAGACGTGATCCTCGGAATGTCTGGCAGGGAGTGGGCAAGCAAGACAGGGAAGGCAAGACAGCCAAGGAAGGAAGAGTCATCAGACAGGTCACCAGGGTAGACAACTGAGCTCCATTCCGCTGAGGGCCTCTGGGAGACAGTGCAGAATTCACATCTCAGAGTTTGCCCAGCTGGAGTTGAAGAGGCTGCAGTACTTTTTCCTCCAACTCCTACCGTCACTAACAAAAAGTGTTGATGCCACAGGAAGGCACCAGTGTTCTCCCTTTCTGGAACTGTGACATTCTATCAGTTGCCTTTTGGATTAGTCTCCGTGAAGATAACTCGAGTTCTGAGTCCTTGACTTGTGGAACAAAACAAGATATGGAGAGCTTTCTAGTGTCATTTTCAGAGCTTAGTCTTCCCAAATGTCCTGGAAAAGATGATAAGAAAGAATCTGTGGCCAGACCAAGGTCTACCTTAGACCTTCTCTCCTAGTTCATGTTCAGGCTATCATCCAGCCACCAGACTTCCTCTCAGATTCTCTGCACACCCTCAGTGGACCTGTCTTTCAGAAGTGCCACATTTTGCCTTTTACAATGCCAGCATTTCATGAAACTTTACTTATCCTTGGATTTAATCAAAATTTGAAGGATAGCTGTCTTCAGTCACTGCTGGATCAGCTGAAGAGCATTCTAGATAGCCTTCTGACCCAAACATTGCCGGAGGGCTCTAAGTTGAGCAGACCAGTGGAATTTGTTCTTCAACCAAATGGAAAAGATTATATGATTTGTGAGAATGCTCATCATTTTGGCTCACATTGTGCCAAGGATCTAATTATTGGATCTGTCACCACATCTGGCATAAATATTATACATAGAGACCAGTGTTTTGTGTTTGTGTCTGTGAACTTGGACTTATTAGCCATGCTTATCTGGGGTATCTCTGACTGGAGAATGTTGTGGGCCTTTGATAACCGTTTCCCGAAAAATTTTGTCCCTGGGAAAATAGAACTCTTTAAGAGCTATTCTCTGTATCCTCCATGCTATGGGCATGATATCAGTTTTTGGTTAGATGAGAAGAAAGGATTGGATGAACCGGAGTTTCATACTGTAGTCCGAGCAATATCCCAGGACATTGTTGTATCCATACAATTCCTTAGCCGTTTTCAGCCTCCAAAGACTGAACAGGTCAGTCTCTGCTATAGATTGACCTATCAGGCCTGTGACAAGGCCCTCACCCAGCAGCAGGTAGCAACAATGCAGTCCCAGTTTAGGAAGGAGATTCAACAACGACAACATGTTACACCTCGGTAGCCTAGTACATTCTTTTCTACAACGTGATCCTTCATTGATGTGGGTGTGGATGACACTGACCAACTTGCAACCAGTAGTTCTTTCTGCACGGTGTTGTTTTGGAAAATCTTTTACTTTGTGACCAGAGCCACTGCTGATTGACCCTAAAGACACCTTGATTATGTCATAACTTTGAGAATATAGTGATTGGTGGTGTTTGGAGTTGTGCAGCATTTGGGTTCTGAGTAATGACTAAGACAGCAAAATAAAACAGCAGCCTGTACTTTAAATGCTCTGCTGCTGAAGAGGCGACAGAACTTAGGTGCCTCATTGCATATAAATATGCCTTTCATCTTCAAAAAAAAAAAAACTGTTGAAGGGCTAAAGGGGTTGGGGGTATAATTCTCCAGCACTTATGAAGACACACCCCTGTAGCCACATAAATGAATGTCACAGAATAGTTCACCGTGTGGGTGTTGAGATTCCTCAAGGGCATGAAGTTTTTAAGTCCAGGGAGCAGACATTAGCCATCCCTATGTCCAGCACCCTGTACAAAATACGTGCCCGATGAAAGTTCTTTGAAACAAGTGCCTGTGTGTATCAGGGTGTGCATGTGTGTACCTGCGTGTGTGCATGCACGCCTATGCTTGTCTAGGTGGAAGGGAGGCCATTGTCCCTATATCCAGAGCTTTGTCTGATAATCAAGTCAGATTACTGCCAGCTGCCACACGACCCAGCTTCCAGTAAAGGCTGTGGGCTGGCTGTGTAGCCAGTAAGCCCACACAAGGAGTTTTCACAGCTCACCTCGTCCCATCCAGCCTTTGACAGCTGCGAACCCCCGTTAACCCAGGACAGTCACAGAGGCGCGATGGCCCATAGGAGAAAGGTCTCCCGCTCCTCACTTCTCAGCTAGCTTCGTGCTCTCCGAGAACTAATTCACCCTACAATCGCTAGAGGTTTAACTGGCTTGTAACAGATTTGTTCACGGATCAAAGTCATCTGACAGAGCATCTGGAAGCTGACCCCAGTGTGGCGTGCACGGCTGCAGGTCTCTGTACTCGCCTGCATCCGGGCAGACAGATTAGCAGCAAGGGAGTGCCCTTGGGAGGGCCCCACAGAACCAGCTGGCCCCAAGACCCCCACAGTATGGCGTGTGGACTCGTTGTAAGGCCCTAGTCATGCCATGCCCGGATTACAATGTGACAGGGGCAAGATTTATTAAACAGGTGAGATTTCTCCCACCCCCCCACCATCTCAATGCCTCTGTCTTGTGCTGCTTAAAAATAAATAAATCTCTTTGTCGCCATTTCTAGGCTAGGATGCTTGGTGAGGCCAAAGGAGAGCTGAGAGGTTGGGGGTGGAGACCTTAGTGAAAGAAGCTGAATCGATTGACAAGAGAAAACCGTGCGAAGAGAGTTGAGAGTCAGGGACACAACACCAGGACTGCTGTGGTCTGAATATCTGTGTCCCCCTGAAATTCATATGTTGAAACCGAACTCCCGACGTGACGGTCCTAAGAGGTGGAGGCTTTGGGAGGCGGCTAGGCTGTGGTGGCCTGAGCGGGAGTGTTCCTGTGAAAGGGACCCCAGAGAGCTCACTTGAACCTCCCATTCCGTGAGGACGCGGTTAGGAGGTGCCATCCATGAACCAGAAAGCAGGCCCTCACCGGACACTGACACTATTGACACCTCGATCTTGGACTTCTGGACTCCAAAGCCATGAGATATACAATTCTGTTGCTTATGAGCCACTTTGTTTATTTTATTTTGTTAGGGCAGCCTGAACAGACTGAGGCAAGGGTTAAGGAGGAAAGTGATTGGGTTTGGCAGGTATTGGGTTGTGGCTGTGCCGTGGAAAATGGAAACAGAAGGCAGGAAAGCGGTTTTGAAAGTGTGACTGAGGATTACACATTGGGATCTTGCTGGTGTTCTTTAGGACACCTAAGCTGGAATTTTTAAAAATCACCACCTACGGGACTCGATTCTGTAAAAATCCTGATCTCATGACCTCTGCTTCTGTGTGGTTGGATGGTCGTCGGTGTCACAGACTGCTCATTCTAGACAGTGAATCCCCACCCACACGGGAACCATGTCCCATCTGTTTAGTCCCTGAGAGTGGGTCAGGCATGTGCCCATGACTGTGTTCAGGGTCTCCCCGGCAGCCGGTGCCTGTCTACATGCCGCGTGGGAATCAGCAGAGGGACGAGACACCCACCTTACCCCCCCGGCCCTGGCAGGAGCCTACCATCTCCCTAGGATTGTCCAACTTAAAAGCTCAGCCAGTTCGAGACCCGCCTGGGCAACTTGGCAAGACCTCATCTCTACAATAAAATCAAAAAAATTAGCCGGGCGTGGTAGCTACTTGGAAGGCTGAGGCGGAAGGATCGCCGGAGCCCAGCAGGTCGAGGCTGCGGTGGCCAGGAGCGGCCACAGCACTCCAGCCTGGATGACAGAGTGAGACTCCAACTGAAAAAAATAAAAAATAAAAAAAAAAGCTCAGCCAGGCATGGTGGCATGTCCCAGCTACTCAGGAGGCTGAGGTGAGAGGATCTTTTGAACCCAGGAGTTCAAGCCTGCAGTGAGCTATGATGGTGCCACGGCACTCCAGCCTGGATGACAGAGCAAGACTCTACCTCCAAAATACTCCAGCACACTAAGGAGAGACTTGGATTATCGCAAGGGACTCCTACAAAAGGTGGAGGGGGAGCCAAAGGGAGAGTACTCTGACTGTGAGGTATGCAAGTGCTCATGAATTAGGCAAAAAGAGTTTTTCTTTTGTAGAGATAAGCGGGGCTAGAAAGGACAAGGTGTGAGGGAGTGAGACGGAAGGGTGGCTTGATCAGACAGCAGGGAAGACCATGTTTTACCCTGAAACCAGCCTGTCCCCAAGGGACGCTGTCTGTCCATCAGGCTGAGGGTTGGCCAAGGTTTAGGGGTCCGAGGGAAGGAGGGAAGCCCAACCAAAATTCATTAGCAAGCTATTTGTTTCTATTGATCGGTGGAGACAAGCATTTCAGCTAATCATTTATGAAGCAAAGAATGGGAATGTAGATGATCCTAGTCGGTCTCGCCATCCATAGCAATGGGGGCATCTGTGAGCCTGATCTCAGGTTGTGGGGAAGGGTGAGTCTTTGCAATAAATCATTTTCTTTTTTTCTTTTTTTTTCTTTTTTTTTTTTTGATTTATTGTAGAGATGAGGTCTTGCCAAGTTGCCCAGGTGGGTCTCGAACCCGCGGCCTCAGGCAATCCACTCACCCTAGCCTCCCAAAGCACGGGATTACAGGCTGAGCCACCAAGCCCGGCTCAAGCCATTTTCAAGAGCACAAAAGGATGGAGGGATTTCTCAGTGCCAGGTAAACATCAGCATTGTCAGAATGCACCTGAGCTTTTGAGTCTGTACCCTTTTTCTGAAAGAGGCCAGCTGTGAAACCAGCTGGGTTATGCTGGTGGAGGGGCTCCGAGGGGGTCCTTTTCTAAACAGCATCCAGGAAGCACATGCAATATCAGAGCCCGGCGGCCTGACAGGGGATGGCCGTGCCCAGGGCATGCCCCCAGTCCACAGGTGTTTACAAGAACAGATGAGTCCCACGCTGTGGGAAACTCTCGGCCCAGCCTTCAGCTTCCAGATACCCATCTTGGGCCACTGTGCAACCCACATCCTGCTCACTGGATGATTTGTGAGGTGCATAGGTCCTGGAGAGGCAAGTCAGGCTGAAGGAAGGCATGGGTCAGCCTGCCTCGGATGGTTGTGTGGTCTGTGCACTGAACAAAGGAGACAGGTGGAAAGGGTCCAGATTCCAGGATGCACTTTGCCAGCCAAGCCATGTGGCATGGCACAGGTTTCCTCCCCCGTTTTATGACTCCTCCCAGTACCTTTAACTGCTCCCTCCAGCCCACGGAGGAGCCACTGGACCACTGTTTTGAAGGTCTTTCTCAGGACTTATTCTTGCCATCAAAGCTCTACCAAAGCACAGTCCCAGGCTCGACTGTGGACGGCACTTGGTGAATCTGTTTGCGTAAATTAAGTGGCACCAGCCGGGTTTGGTGGCTCAGCCTGTCATCCCGCGCCTTTGGGAAGCTGAGGTGAGTGGATTGCCTGAGCCCGCGGGTTCGAGACCCGCCTGAGCAGCGAGACCTCATCTCTACAATAAATCAAAAAAATCAGCCGGGCGTGGTAGTGCATGCCTGTAATTCCGGCTACTCGGAAGGCTGAGGCGGAAGGCTCGCCGGAGCCCAGCAGGTCGAGGCTGCGGTGGCCGGGAGCGGCCACTGCACTCTAGTCTGGGCGACAGAGTAAGACTCCAACTCAAAAAAAAAAAAAAAAAGTGGCACCTTCACTAACCTTCACCTCAAGATACAAAGGATTCCAACTATCATATTTCTAAGGACCATGAAATGTTGGTATTTCATTAACCAAATGACCGGTATTTCAACCCTGAAGAAGAGCGTGGCATACCAGAAATCCAGAGCCCTGGAAACCACTTTGATGGTCACTCTTCAAGGTGATGCTGGTGTTGAATCAGGAGGAGGGTCGTTGCCATCACAGGGGAGCGACGCGTGGTGTGGACCATGGGATGTGGATCTTTGGCACCCTCAGCTCCCAAGAACCCAAGTACTTTGACCCACACGCCCTGAATCCTGCAAACCTGTATGGCATTCTCATACAAATTAGGAAAAGGTAGCAGCCCCAGCACTATTCGTTCACAGGCTGTTTAGTCATAGTCTGGTGAAATAAGGCACCTTTGTACAGAGAAAAAGGCATTGTTTCCTCTGGGTAGAAACAGGCCTGTGTCATACCCCATGGCTTGGCAAGCCAAGTATATGCTGAAATTCAGCTCTCACCCATCCCTTCCACCTGTTGCCCTTGTTCAGTGCACAAACCATACAACCACCTATGGCAGACCTGTCCTATGCCTTCCTTCACCCAGGAAGTGCTGGGATTACAGGAGTGAGTCCCCCCCCCCCCGCCTCAAGAATCTGACCTGCCTCCCTGGGGTCTATCTATCCAACAAATAATCTTT